TCTTCTTCTTCTTCTTCTTCATTTGATCGTGAGTTCCTTTCATTTCCTTTCATTTCGTTTCTCTCAAATGAATCAATCAATTTAGTAGTAGTAGAAGAGAGTAAGAGAGAGTAAAGTAAAGTAGAATGAATGGCTCAAGAGTGACTGAACACTTGATTTCCATCTGTAGTCCTTCGACGTTTCGTTTCGTTTCGTATCGTATCGTATCAACCATATTAAAGGGTATACAGAAGACACAATCCGAGTATATTTCTCCTCGATCAAGACGGCTGACGCGGCTATGCTGGTTATACCGGAAGGCGAAGCGAAGCTGGCGAGTCTCCTTTCCTCGATTTGTTTTACTTCTTCTGGATATAGGAAGGAACGCTTTCGTGTATTGGAGGTGGTAAATGTAGATGAAGGGTGGTGGTGTTCTCTTTGTAATGGACTCGTTTGATGATTCGAACTTTCTTTTTTTCCCTTGTAAGTGGCCATCTCGTACGCATAATGAATATCTTTCGGTGGGAGGGGGATCTGATCGCGTTTACTTTCACTGGCATCACATGACAAACAGTTGCTGATGTCCAGTACAGCAATTGAAATACCCAGAGAGAAGCACTGTGTAGGTATCTACATTATAAAGTGATGCTATCGCAGAACGTGTAGTATTACACCTGATGCCCAACTTAGGGCGAAGCGAATTTGTAGCCATACTGCTCCTTGGCCTCGTCTCCAAGCTTCTTCAACTTGTCCTCACTCTCCTTGAATCCATCCTCGTCCTTCAACCTCTTCTGGTAGCTCGAGTTGATGATCTGGCTCTCACTCGGCACCTTCAGTCCAGCCTGTACGGCCGGTCTCGCCTCGATGCTCTTCCACCACCGCTCTACGTTCTTGAACTGGCTGATGTCCAGCCCAGCGAAGAAAGAGACGTTGACCCAGGAGAACGAGGCGATGTCGGCGATGGAGTACTTCCCGCGGCCCGGGCCGACGAGGTAGTCGCGGTCCGCGAGCTGGATATCCAGGATCCCGTAGAGCCGCTCAGATTCGCCTACGTAGCGCTGGGTCGGGTAGGGAATGCGCTCTTTGGCGAGCCGGTAGAAGTGGTTGGCTTGTCCCTGCATGGGGCCCTGCTTTACCTATTAACACCTCGTCTTCCAGCTTAGCTAGCTAGCTTGCTGTAGCTTTTTTTCTCATTTTTCTTTTCTCGAGAGACTTGCCAGGCCACCGTGCTGCCACGCAACCCACTGCTCGCATCTACTCAAATCGTCCGCATCCTTGAAGCTGAACTTATTCTCGGTATCGTAGTGTCGGGTCAGGTACGCCAAGATGGCCGCGCCTTCAAATACCGCGAAGTCGTTGCGGTCGTGATCCACAATAGCGGGGATCCGACCGTTGGGAGAGACCTTGGTGAACCAGGGCTCCTTTTGAATGTTCTCCATGATGTTGATGCTTTGGAAGGTGTATTGCAGGCCATAGGCGGCTTTCAACTCCTCGAGGATGATAGACGCTTTATGGCCATTGGGCGTGCCGAATGTGAGGAGCTCGATGCCAGAGGTGCCAGTCAGGCCTGTCGGGCGGGTAGAGGACGACATGGCTCTTGCGATTGATGATGGGATTGGGAAGATGTGTTTGGAGGTTTGGTAGAGGCGGCGAAGAGGTGACTTGAACATGAAGAGTGTGAAGGAGAGAAGGAAGAAACGGAAGAGGAAGCGCATACATGTATTTATGGGGTTTTGATAGAGAGACTCCGTAGCGTATGTGGTCGATGGGGGCGATTGACCAATTACTGCTTGGAAATCAAGAACTCGGATGATCAGATGAACATCTCCCAATTTCAAAGCTTCGGCCGCTGAATGATGTCAGCGCTCCCCCGCACTGTTTGGTTTCGGCGATAAGGCATTCCCGGAACTTCAATAAGTAGAAACTAGCTACTAAAACCCACGTAGCTGTTACTCGCACCTACTACCTACCTTACGATTTCACTACTTATGCTTAAAACTTAAGAAGACGCCGAAGTCAAAAGAGTGCAAGACTTGTCAAACAAAGACCTTGTTACTAAGCTGAGCTTAATTATCAACGGCAACCATTATTCATAGCGAAGTATCAAGCAGCGTCTCTTTGAAATAGGGCCTATTAAATTCGCTGCTTATCGCAAATAGAATGTCCTTTTTGACCGCCAACGCGAATGGAATACGATGGTAGAAGATCTCGAGATAATTGGCGTCGAAGACGCATCTATCATCTTAATGCATTTTTTATAGAATACGAATGCTTATCAATGTCTTTTGCTTAATCTTAAAAGAATCCTCATTCATGCAGGTCTAAAAGTAAAAGGTAAATGCATAATATCTTATGATATTCTCTTAACTTATGCGACATCGTAGGACTCAAGCTCATCAGCTCCAATGTTGATCGGAACGACGATGCTTGGTTAAAGCAGACGAACTGTTATTCGGGAGATGATATAATAGAAAGTGACACTTCTAGCACAGGTCAAGTTTCGACGCCTGACCGTTAGCGGATGGTTTGTTTTGGAATTCTATAATAGAAGATAACAATACATTTATTCAATAAATGTAAGCCTATATTTCAAAGGCTATCTATCGAAGTGAATAGGCTAATGACCACTATGCAGGCTGCTTTACGCTAAGTGAAGGGTCATAGGCTTAAGATTCTTCAAGGCTGAACGCCGCGACTTTTGGACCCCTCCCTGAAATTCCAAGGAAAGGCTTTAGAAAACTATGAGGTTCTAACTCTCACTGCTAGTTCAAGGTGCCGCTACAAGTTGCTTCCAAGCTCTTCTTTCCGGCGTCGATATGAGGCATTGCAACAGCCCTCTGAGTCCGAATACTATATAGACTTAGTTCCCAGCCCGTGATCTGGCTATTGAGATTTGTGGATTCCCGCTTTCGGGGATCCGGCAATTGTCTCTTTTAATAAAGAATACGCCTTCTAGACTTGGGGATGGAGAGCTCTAGTCGGGTTTCCAAAAGGATCTGAGGCCGACGGGCGCTCGTAGTGTAGAGATTGCCCAATTCTCTTCAGTCTATATAGTCGTATGTATCCGTCCAGGTCATATCTCAATCTATAATCCATGCACAGCCGAATCCAATCCAATCCGGAGTCCAAGAACGACATACGGAGCGGCCGTGGATGGTCTGAACGAAAGCCGCGCGCGCGGTAGTCACAAAATGTTAATATTGTGAAATGGTTAATATGCCAGCCGGCAGGGCTCTGACAGTGCGGGGGATAGAGAAATTTTTTTGGGGAGGGGGAGGGGGGGATTTTTTTAATTTTAATTTTAATTTTTAATATATATATATATGTATATATATTTTATATTTATATGTATATATGTATATATTTCCGGACATCGTAATGGGCGATTTCGGTCGTTATGCGTTCGGAAAAAAGTCGAGATGATAGGGAGCTAGCTGAGAGGAATTTTCTAAAAAAGACACGGAATACGAGAGAGAGAGAGAGAGAGAGAGAGAGAGACGGGTTAGAGGAAGCAGAGAGCAAAATTATAATGATCGACAGAACGGTCGGTATAAAATCATCACACCGCTCACGCTGCAGCCGGCACGATCTTCTTCCCCTTGACATTCCTCCACTCAACGCCACATGCGCAAACCGTCGCGATGCCCCCCACCACAATGGGAATCACGTACGCCTGTTGCAGCGCAATCATGTACGCATGCAAGACACCAGGTAGCTCGTCCGCGGTCACCACGTTCTTGAGATACGTGGCGCCTGCTCGCACGACAGTGGCGGGATCGACAGAAGGTGCGTAGATGGGGAGGTTGGTCTTCAAGCCGTTGGAGAAGATGTTTTGAGCGATGGAGATGGCGATCGCGCCGCCGAGGGAGTTGAAGAAGATGGCGATGGCGTTGCCGGTAGGCATATCTTTGGGGGAGAGCACGACTTGCACGGCTATGAATGGGACTGGGGGGGATGGTCAGCTGTTTGGGGCTCGGGAGGGTTATGGTGATCATGGACTTACTCTGGACACCTGAGCCGGCACCGAACCCTGCAAGGAGTTCTGGGATCTTGTCAGGTTATTCGGATTTGCGAGAGTGGCAGGGGGAAGATGCTTACGATAGCCAACCCATTTCCCTACAGAAGAATTGACTTGCAGTGTGTACACCATCCCAGCCCCAACTGTAAACAGTGCGCTTCCGAAGATCATGAATGGCTTGTACCAGCCAAGTGCTGTTATCGCTCCCCCCACTACAATTGAAGAGAGGATGATCGAGCCGAGATATGGAATTGTGCGAATACCGGATCCCTCAGCTGTGGTGCCTTTCACAGCCTGAAAGTAGAAGGGGAGGAAGTAGATATGTCCCTAGAAGCCTCTCTCAGCCACGCCCGTGTTGCACAGCATTGATACCAGGGTGACTTACATAAAGTCCCATGCTCAGAAAGCACGAATACAAACTCGAGAACAGCACGCTTCTCTGCCTGAATATTCTTGGCGGGATCGTAGCCCGATCGCCTCGTCGGAATTGCTGCGCGATGAAGACTATGATCAACAGCCCGAACCCCAGCAGACAGCCCCAGACCTTTGAGTTCTTCCACGCGTACTCGGTGCCTCCCCACTGCAAGGCGAGAAGTAAGCAGACAATGGCGCAGATCAGGAACAAGGCGCCTAGGAGATCAATCTCAAGAATCTTCTGCTTGAGCGTGAGACCCGAGTCTCTGCGCTGTGGAGGCTTGAAGAAGAACCAGACTGCAGCTATGGACACTGCCCCAAACGGGAGATTTATCTGGTGTCCTTGTCAGTCTTCTGATTCCAAAAAGTGCTTTACTTACGCGCTTACCCAAAAGCACCACCTCCAAGACACCTTATCCGTCAGCACACCACCCAGCAACGGGCCTACTACGCTCGAGATCCCAAACATGCTGCTCAGCGTCGCAATGAAAATCGGGCGTTTGCTCAGCGGAACGCTGAAGCCTACTATCGTCATACCACCAGAGAAGAGAGCCGAGGCACCAGCGCCTGCTACGGCCCGGCCGACGATGAGCATAACCGAGTTCTTGGCAGCAGCGCAGAGAATAGAGCCGAGCTCGAAGATGATGAGGGCAATGATGTAGGTGTATTTGACGTTGAAGTAGGTGTAGATGCGGCCGAATGAGGGTTGGAGTGCTGTGGTTGTCAAGAGGTAGGATGAGCCGTACCTACAATGCGGATCAGACCTGAGTATTAGGTGATTAAACAGTCGGGGTTTTCTCTTGGATTTTGAAGAATATAGATAAGGGCGTATAAGCCGCATAGGAGAGTGTTGTAGAGGAGCGGGATAGGAAGGTAAGATGGATATTTGCTTACCATCCGACATCGTTCAGCGAGTCGAACACGGACGTGATTTTCGGAATTGCGGTTGCGATGATGGTGTTGTCTGCCTCCAAGTCAGAAACACGCACAGCTCACAAGCTCAATATCAAAACATTTCAAGGCCAGCGAGACCAAAAAATAAAATCTTACGGAACAGGAGGGACTTACCCAAAGCAACAGTGAACGTAGCCAAGCAAAGGCCCAAAGTCAAAAGCGCCAGCTGTAACTTCGCGGGGTAAACAACATCGTCGGGATCCTCCACTTCAGCAGCATCCTCGCCCTGCTCTCCACCTCCCTTCACCACCACTCCGTCTGGACTCGAGTGCAACTGCGACGGCGACGTTGAAATATGCTTCTCGTCGGCCGCGACTGCGTCGGAGCTTGCCATTTGGTGCGGCGCAATGATTGGCTGAAAGACGACAATCAAGCCTTGGGACCCCTCCGCTCAAAGGCTTGATTGATTTGATGGATGCGTGGCCGTGCGATGTGGAGCGCGGGGGGGAGATTGCGATATTAGAAACAGAAATCTAAAGCTCTTGCCTGGTAAAATGAGCCGTTACGCGTGGCAGAATTTCAAAGAGAAGATAGGAGGGAGAGATGGTAAAGGTGAGGGGAGCTGGCTAGTGAGTGATCTGGCGTGCGTCGCTCCCGAGCAGATCTTTGAGCGTTCGAGGGACTGACTGACTGACTGACTGACTGACTGGACTGGACTGGACAGGCCAATAGGACCGGGAAGGGATCCGAATACGATGTTGCTTGAATTATCCAATGATCGAGATTTTATACGCTGTGAGCTGGGAGCTGGGGTGTGATGGTAGCCGGGAGCCTAAGCGAGTATTGAAGGTGACCTGGCTTGTATGTATGGTAGGTGGCGCTCAAGAGGAGGGTGTCGATATTGGGATTGGTGATCACCCCCCGACCACCCTGGACCTGCGTTTGCATAGTTTTTTTTTTGTTTTTTGTTTGGTTTGGTTTGGAGGCTGTGTTGCGGTGGCCCGGAGCCACGCGACTGGACCGTGTCAATTTCATGTTTAGGTGCCACATCTAGAACGTGCTGAGGTTACCGTCACAGACCGGAAGCTACTGCAGTGCCTCGTAACGTTCGGCCCGTGTTCTCCTTTCCAATTGCATTGAAGCACCTCCTTGGAAAATTTGGTAACACAAAGGTAACACTAAGGTATGTACCTATATGGAATGGGAGTACAGGACTGAAACTTCAACCTCGCCATGTTCCGGAAAGACTGCTCTGGTCTGACTAACGTAAGAAGTGAGTAGTACAATGTAATTCGAAGACTATTGCGCAAAGGTTGACAACCACAGAGTAAGACATAGGAAGAAAGGGCGGGGAGTACTTAATTATGTGGCCGAGAGAAAAGCAGGGGGTATGGCAGCTGCTGCTTAGCACTTCCATAACATAAGCCTGCTGTGGGGTACATACTGGGCTCGAAATAGGTATATTGGGAACTCGATATGCCAAGAAGAAGTAGGAATTTACATGCACCGATGCGCCAGATCAGAGAAAGAAATCAGCCTGTGATATCCACTGGGTACGTATGGGATGTACTCCGGCTGCGAAATCGACCTAATGAGGTTTCTGCCGTACACGTTTCACAGCCAGTTGTCATCGATTGATGCTGTGTCCCGAGTTCATGGGAGAATGGTATGCTGCTTTCGTCGAGGTAAATTACAATCAAGTACCTACGTAGCCTTGGATTTGATCGTACCGAACGTTATACCGTTCCCAAATGCTGTTACGCCGCCCAGTGAGTCGTAAATCCCAGTCGCTGAAGCATCTAGACCACCCGTTTGACCTTTGCGCAAAGAGTCAAAATCAGTCACCGGCTCAGAACACCATAGCGCTCGGAACTGTTCGTGCCTACCTCGAAGAAGCGTTTTAACCACCAGACCTGGAAGATACCCTCACCGACCAAGACGCCCATCTGAAATAAGCTCCACCACTTGACTCTGGCGTTGGTGCTCTCTGCGGTATTTCGGTGGGTCCTCTCGCGGAGGACGATGTACGATTGTTCGTCTCTTACTTGGGAGAGAAGCTCGGATAGGTGGCGTACTGCATCTTGTAAGAATGGGCCTGTAAACCTGCGTGGATAATCGTACCTTCTAACTCCAATGGATCAGATGGGGCATCTGCTTCGGGGACGTAAACTATTCCGTGGACATTAAAAGATACATCCTTGCTTGACGCCGACCAGTGATCATTACTGAAGCAGTAGATGTATTTTCCGTCGTGTTGAGCTGTGAAAGAGTGGTCCCCATTCATTACCGCCAGTTGTTGGACCTCGAATCCCCCGGCTGGGTTTTGAATCTGCCATGAATTCAGCAATGGTACAAAGCATTGCTTGCCATCGGGTCATACCCAAAAGTCTATTTGCAGATTTCCAGCACTGCCAAACTCTCTGTCTCCAACTTGGAATGTGACCGTCATCTTATCGTCCTTGTGGAGCATCTCGTGGAAGCACTCCCTGCCATGGGCCGCAAGCTGGATGTTGTGTGCCACTGCGGTTCCCAGCAGAGTGGTCGCCGCCAGCAGGAGTGAAGAAGTCGAGAATCGCATAATGAGTGTTGATGTTAAGCTGGATTGCGGGTGGATATTCGGTGCTCAGTACCAGGTCGCGCTCGGAAGGGTTACGTGGTAACTCGGGTTCGTCAGACTCCGAAAGGGGCAGCGCAGAGGCGACGGTCGGAATCAACGGAACTTTGGATTGCGTCAACAACAGAGAATAGAATCTCCAGAAATGGGTTCTTGCGAATGGAAGCGTGTGAGATGTGAATTGACTTCAAACTGCCAGATCTCGTTTCCTGCCCAAGAGGAACTCTATTGGAACTTGAGTCTCGATGTGTGGTCCTGAATAGGTTTAGCGTATGCCAAGCCAGACAGACTCCTAGGCCTGCGCTTCGGACAGACAAAGTGTTCATTCACATCCGCTCTGATCACTCTCCATTTCATCCTACCAACAACTCGCTAATACCGAACATCTATCTCCACCGGGTCATCGTCGTCGTCGATCACACGGAATTGTAAGCTATACACCCCCTCTGTCCTCTCACCCTCCACCAAATCTTGCCTGCGGTGAATGGCGGTGGAGTGCGAAAGCGCTGGTGCGCATGGGCTTGTTGTTAGCGGTCACGATACAGATAACGAGGGTTGGGGTCCATCGTGGCAGCCTGTCTGTCAAAGGAGTCACTACAACAAGTGAACAAGGCCTCGAATCTCTCCCTCCAAGATATTACGCCACATAGTGCCTGCCCGCGTCCATCGGTACATTTTCCAGCGCATTGCTAATGCTCCGTCTTCCGACAGAATCGAGTCTACACAGGAGCGAATCCTACCGCCCCTTGCCAGCATCCCACAACCACAAACATGGGTCTCACATTCTCGAAGTTGTTTGATAAGCTCTGGGGAAAGAAGGAGATGAGAATTTTGATGGTTGGTTTGGATGCTGCCGGAAAGACCACAATTCTCTACAAGCTCAAGCTTGGTGAGATTGTCACAACCATTCCAACAATCGGTATGACACATCCTCAATAGGCTTTCACGCCTGCGCACATCTTCGGGGCTATAGCTGATAAACCTAGGTTTCAACGTCGAGACGGTCGAGTACAAGAACATTCAATTCACCGTATGGGATGTTGGTGGACAAGACAAGATCCGTCCTCTGTGGAGACATTACTTCCAGAACACCCAGGGTATCATCTTTGTCGTCGATTCCAACGATCGTGACCGTGTTGTTGAGGCTCGCGAGGAGTTGCAACGTATGTTGAACGAGGACGAGCTCAGAGATGCCATCCTCTTGGTATTCGCCAACAAGCAAGATTTGCCAGTACGTCTCGATTATCCCATGTCTCGAAGATCAGTACTAATCAACCCGACAGAATGCCATGAACGCCGCCGAGATCACAGACAAGTTGGGCCTCCACAGCTTGAGACAACGCGCCTGGGTAAGCCTAAATAACTCCTTGTTTTGCCACGATGTATTAATTTCCACAGTACATCCAATCCACCTGCGCTACCTCTGGAGATGGTCTTTACGAGGGTTTGGAGTGGCTCGCACAGTCTCTCCGCAAGGCTGGTCATCAGTAGATCTGGCGTCCTCTCTCCCAACGATCGATTGTATCCGGAAGCACGCAGAACAATCGAAAACTTCCGTAAACCTCTCCATCTCAATCAAATCACTGGTGCTCTATCACGAATCATTCCCGTCTCTTCAGTCCCACTTCCATAGGAGGCGTAAGGGTGGTAATTGTACGATGAGTTCAAGCTACTGCGTGTCTTTTCTCCTGGCTTTTGCATCACGACATATAGTCTGGAGGGAACTTGGGCAGGCCTGGCTGAAGCTTCTCATTTTTGCGCGCGCGTGTTTTTTTTGTTTCGGCTTGGACGACCTTTTTTCTCACCTCTGGGCTTGCCAATCTTGTGTTTCAGCATGGTATAAAAGCTTGCGGTAGATGGAGGATGGATCCGTTGGTAGTTTAGTCGGAAATTGATCCATTCGAAAACTATCCTACTCCCGCTCTCCCGCCTGGATATGCTGATAAAACGCTGTGAATTGTGCTGGCTGGTTTACACGGACCGACCGACGGGTCGAGGACGACCCGACTAACTAGTAGATACGTCACATTTCCTTCCTTTACATGTTCTCGGCAGATGGATGCGAGTGCTTCGCGAGTCATGGTCATGGTCATGGTCGTGGTCGTGGCCGTGGTCGTGGTCGTGGTCGAGACTATGCATGCGAAGAGGGTTACGTTATGTGGCGACGATTCGCCTCGCCCAAACTGCAAGTGCATCCATCATTGGCTGGATGTTTGTGGATGTTTGAAAGAGCCGAGGAGAGACGACTTGCTTGCTGTTTTCTGCCGACCTCTATGCTACAATACTTTTTTCTCTCTCTTTTTTTTCTCTCTTTTTTTTTTCTCTTGTCTTCCAGCTTTCCTCCATGACCAGCACTTCTTGCAGAATTCATGACCCTATGAACGGAGTATACGTACCCGGAGTCAGGTGGTGGCGAAAAATCAGCGCTCTCAGTGATCTCGTTCCGCCGATGTCCATTCCCTTTTTGCGCCTCGTCAAGCTTTTGATATCTAGTTGGTACATCGATGAGTTTTTTTTTTTTCGCTTATCGATCTACACTTGCCCTAGGTGGGTAAGTAAGCGAGGAAGTAGTTCCAAGTCCGGGCTTTCCCCAGATGCGTTTGGAACGTCCCCGCTAACGTTTTTTTTTTTTTTTGTTGTCCGATCGGTCTGTCCTTCTCTTACAGCGCTTGTTCTGTTATGACTCTTTCGATAAGGAAAAGGGAGGGGGACTAGCTAGCTTACTTGTATATTCGTCCTGGTAGACGAAATTCCGAAGTATACCTGGTCCCCTCCTTCTCGGCGTGTGAGGATTCTCGGTTGGCTTGCTTACTTGCTTGCTTGCTGATGGTATCTGCGTTGGTTTGATGAGACTGGATGCACATTAGGGACTTGGTTGGTTATGGATTTTGTCTTAGTTCTTGCCGTTTTGCTTCGCACATTTTGCTTGTTCTTTTTCTTTTTTTCTTCTTTTCAATTATCGTATGTATCTATGATGAGTTGAGGACTGCTGGGAAATGAAGAAGTATGTTTTGGGTTTTTATATGGTGCGGAATGCGTAGAAGGATTGGTTTTTCTGCAGTTTCGAAAGTGCAGTCGCGTTGCTTGGTTTCGCGCTCTGTATCTTGACTGGGCCGAGGGTTTGGCTGGTAGTCAGTCTAATGAGGATTTTGGAAGGAAGGAGGTGCAGAGCTGGCTTATGAAGGATGCTAGTTGAGGGAGGTCTCTCCTTGGAATCAGCTGCTCCTTTATTCAGCAGCTAGTTAAAGTCCCATTGGTGTCATCTCTCGGAGAGTTTGCCCTGGTAATGTCTACTATCTATCTATTTAGATCTAGCGAGCTTGCTGTGCTCGTCTGCTGTTTCTATGTACATGTACCCGATCACTTGTTACCATCCCAGCAGCTCGAATATCGTTTTCAATGGCTAGGGGAGTGAGTAAGTTAATTTCTGTAATGAACTGCTCGATGGTCTTCTGCATGATGGTGGATTTGAGATTATTTGATCGTCGACCAGATCCCATGGCTGCGTTGGGAGAGCTGCCGTCATGCTCTGTGATGGGAAATTCGCTATTCTGTACATATGCAGATGCAATCCGCGTCAACGTCTTCAAGAGAATGATTCTCTCAAATCCTAGGACTCCGACGCCAAAAATAACTCCTGCCTAGTGTTCCTACCAACTTGCGTCACATTGGCTACGATTCAGCCACAGAGGGCTTGTGAGATAGAGCGTACTGATCTTGCCATCGAATATAAAGCGAAGATTGCAATTAGAGAAAGACAACCCGATTTTACTCGTCATTTTCCTAAGAGGGTGCGTTATATTTTTCGACTCGATGCGCGGGTGGGATTGATTCCAGGAATATTTAACCACTCGGGCAACTAATAAATCGGGGAGTGTGTACGCTCGTTGTTTGCCGGCGGGTACCAAGATAAACTTCCAGCTTTGGGAAGCTTCCGCGCCGCCCACTACATTATGCACCGATGACTGTTGTCTTCTTCTCTATTCTTGTCCAGTACGTTGCCTTGCTTTTTGTGCTGTTGAGTACTTAATTTGCTGTACCTAAGCTTTTTTAAATAGAGGGTATGTATGGCTATGGCTATGATACACAGAAGACCCAGAGTCGTCAAAGTAGTTTCAGACAGCACTTGGTTAGGTACTCAGTGCCAGCATTCTGAGTCAACAACAACCACGCGATCGTTTAACAAGATGGGTATGTAGATGGGCTTTTGAAAGCCTTCACATCTTTTACTGCATTTATACCGATAGGTCTTCATTTCGTCTACAAACACCATATAGCAGAATCCTTGCCCAGATCAATACATATCAGGCTTGAAGTACGAAGACAGATACCACAAGTGAGTTTCCCACTTTTCTTGTATTGTCATACCTCTCTCTCTCTCTGTGTGTGTGTGTGTGTGTATGTGTGTATAACCCCATTGAGCTAACATGCGAGACCCTAGCCAAAGCCAAAGCCAAAAAGAATATGCCTCTCATAACAACCCAGCCACCACCACCTCCCCAACCAATAGCCAGCTTTCGCTCCCTAATCACCAGCTCTCCCACCTCAGAATCCAGCACCTCTTCTTCACAAACAGTACATACTTTTCCTCCCCTTCCCCATCCATTCCTACATGTAAATTTCTCCCAAGGACACCCCTTCTCGCTCTCCCTCTCTCCCTCCTCACCGCATCTGCATAGTCAGTCAGTCTCTGACACCCCCCGTCCTCTACATACATACAGATCACCCCAACTGTACGCTCAGCGAGCACCACCACACCGAGGACAACCTGTATTCGCGGCAGCGGTAGCGCATCGACTTGTTTCGGGTGGGAGTGTCAGTGCTGCGGTGGTGCTGCTAGTGATTGCAGTCTTTGCTAACTGGCTGGCTGACTGACTGACTGACTGACTGACTGACTGACTGACTGACTGACTGACTGACTGACTGACTGACTGACTGACTGACTGAACGGCGGTGCTTTGGCAAATAGGAGGCGGTTCGTTCGTTAATTCGGTAGATCTAATGACGGAGAGCAAGAGTAAGTATGCGAAAATAGTTTAAGGAAGGAAGGAATCAATCGGGATGAAGAGTAACACCGACACTTCCGCGAGAATTGTAAGTATGTGAGTGGAGACGAGAGAGAGAGGGCGCTCGGAAAGTGGCTTGCTTGCAATTGTATTGAGAGATTACATACCCATGCGTTCACTTGTTAAAACATTACTGTCTCGTCTCGTCTCGTTATCAATCGTGGTGCTCGCTTGACCGATCCCTACATAAACATCCATCCGTAGTAGTGCTATTCTGTTTTAAATGCTGTTTTGTAAATACTGGACGCGGTCTGGCTACGCATAGTCATCGGCTCCCTCCTCCATTTTTTCGCAGAGACAGCCCCGAGCTGCAGGAAAGAAGAAGAGAAGGGAATCAATCAATCGCCTTTTGAATGCTAGCGAACACCTTTGAAGCCGAGCAAGCAAGCAAGCATGCATAAGTCCTTCTTCTTTATCACAACTAACTAACTCCCTACCGAAACGAAAGCACCTATTCCTCCTTTTCCCAACTCCACAACTCCAATGACGAAATGTAAAGATACCACGTCCATCCATCCATCCATCCATCCATCCATCCACCGAACCTATCCAATATCCTCCCATCGTCACACCATTCCAATAAATAGTAAACCCCTCTCATAATCCAGCACTCAACCCTTCCATCATATCACATCCCAATCAAATCAAATCAAATCCCCGCAAACATACATCCCTATCCGTAGAAAGGATAAAAAAAAAAAAAAAAAAAAAGGGGGGGGGGTAGCGTCAAGACTCAACACATCCCCATCCCAAAGATAAGAGAACCATGATCAATCAAAGCAAGATCAAATCTCACCCACCCCTGGCACGTCACACAAGCCTGCCCCCACACCCCCAAACGCAAACGCAACATCCTCCCAACCCAAGAATCTTCTCCTCCAAGATCAAGAATATCAGAAAAAAACCAAAAAAAACCCCAGTAAAAAACCCTCATCAAACGTCCTTAACGCTCGCCACGCTGAATACCATACTCGAATTTACGAAAGCTGATGACTGAACATCGCTTCCAAAGTGCGAAGTATAGCGCGCTCACTCTACCCTCCGCACTCCGCACCTCGCATTACCTCGTAATAGTATATATACACGTCGAGTATGGTCTGGTGGCGGATGGAATAGCATAGGATAGAAGGGAGATGAGATGAGATGAGATGAGAATAAGTACTCGCTTATCCTTTCCCCACACCCCCCTTTTTTTCTAAGCGATCAAAAACAAAAATAAAAACATAAACAAAAAACAAAAATACCCCCCCCTCTTAAAAAAAAAAATTAATAGAAAGAGAGAATATTAGAAGCAATCTATCTATCATATTGTACATCTCATTAAGAGATAGATACCCGGGTATCTGATCAAATACAGATACACAATACACACATAGGTACACATGTATTTTACAAATCCTCACCCCCCCCCCACCCCCCCCCTCTTCCCCCTCTCCCCCTCTCTCTCAGCACCAACGGCGACGGCTTCAACAGATACACATCCAGCAGTCCCGCCGCGCCACAAAACTGGCAGAAAGCCGTACAGCTCTCGATCGTCATGTTCAGCCCGTCGCCGTACATGCTCCGTTCCAGCAACCTCCCGGTGGCAGCCTCCTGGTAGCAGCCCTGATAGACGTACTGCCCGGCCGTCTTCGTGTGCGTCGGATACACATACGCGGTGTTGTTGAAGACGCTCAGTCGGCCCCCTCCGCCGCAAATCTCGGCTGCTCAAACCCAGTTAGTACGTTGATGATAATTAGACATCTCAAATTTCAAGAAGGGGACGTTTGAACTTTGAGATTCGCCAATCTCGATCCCGAGACACGGTTCGGATCTTAGAACATTGACGAGAGGGAGTGGAGGGTATGCTGACCTGTATTGCCGCTGCAAGACATACCACTACCGGTATTACCCAGAGTTGCGGGGGACATCAGTGTGTTGTAGCAGTAGCACTCGGACGCATATTCGATGGCCGAGAGCGCGTAGTTGTTTGTCGCGCAAAAGGCTTGGCAGGACTCGACTGTCATGGCATCACCGGATACGAAGGCAGCTCCAGGTAGAGCTCGTCCATCGATTTCGTTCGCGCAGCCTAGATATTGATAGGAGCCGATCTTCTGGCCTGAGGTTGGGGTCCCGGTCCAAAGTGGTGCGCTGGTCGATGTGGATGCTTTGGTTGAAGAGCTGGTTTTGGAAGAGGTAGGGGATGTTGTTGGGGCCGCGAAGAATTCAGTCAACTTACATTATTACGCAGAAGATATTGTAGACTCACAGATGGTTGAAGGGCGGAGAGTTGAGGAAGCTAAATAGATGAGGTAAAGTCAGCAGGGCCTTCTCGACAACCCAATACCCGCGGCTGAGGGCTCATAGCTGGCCTTGACAGTGGAGGAACTGCTCCGGAGGGATGATGACGTCGCGGATCTACTAACGGACGTCGATACCCCAGATGAAGCCCGAGTTGAAGTTGAAATGCTCGAGACAGATGGGCTTGTCTCAGGCTTTGAACTTGAGGATGGGCTGGCCGAGGAAATTTGTGTACTCAATGCTGTGCTGAGCTTTATTCCACTAGAAGAAGAGCTCTCGCTAGTCAGTGTCGAAATCCTCGAGCTCGAAGACGACTTGAGCGAAGTCGAACTGAGTTTCGATCCAGTGGAAGTAATTCTGACAGACGAAGTGCTTGTCGATATTTTCGAGCTGGAGGAGCTTCTGACCGGCGTCCTAGATATCTGGGAGCTACTCCGAGAAGAGCCTCGCACCGAGGACGAGCTCAGGATCGAGGACACAGAAGCCTTAGAGCTGCTCGGAATCGTAGATGTAGATACCCGAGAGCTCGTTGCACTGGATCGCAAGCTAGAGCTAGACGGAAGCTGCGACCGACTTGAAGATGAAGAAGCCGTGCCAGTCCCATTCCTGATATACACGGACAGACGATTTCCAGCTCCGCAGTACTCGTATTGGTCTCCAGCACATCTCATCGCGCAATCCGAGTCGGGGGCAAATACGGATCCGATCCCAAAAGAATCAGAACACCAACATTCGCGGCCGTACTCTGCTCCGGCGTACTTATAAGGCGAACAAGCGGCCACGCAAGACTCGATCGTATTAGTGTCGCTAGGGAAGGTAACTGATCCAAGAGCGCGAATTCCAGTCCCTTCGGTGTAGCAGCCGAAGTATACCTGCTGATGGAGCGATATGAAGCGTGGGTAATGCAGTTGCGCTTGAAGTGGCAGATGAGGTGAGTTTGGATGTACTGCCGGGGACTTGAATTGTCGATGAAGAGCTTGATTTTGTCAAGGTACTTGATTGCCGAGACGTCGTTGATGTGCCCGATGAGGTTGATATTCGAGAGCTCGTGGACGATTTGGTCGATGAAACAGATGTGGCCGACGATTTGCTAGAAGAGGACGAGATAGTCGTCGGCAGCGTCAGACTGCTCACTGAGCTACTTAAAGATACCCGAGAGCTGCTGGAAGAGGGCGTCAGGGTAAATGCCGAGCTTGACCAGGTTGAAGATGACAGAATCGACGAAGAACTTGATCGGGTGGACGATACGGACGACGAGCTCGTGACAGCCGGGGCAACCTGATAAACATTTAAACGATCCCCCCCACCGCAGTACTCCAGCGTATTCGCCGCGCAGAGGACCGAACAACCATTCACGTTTGGATCAGGGCTCGTCTGGACGACGCTACCCTCCCAAATTTGGTTTCCACAGTAGCCTGTTTCGTTAGCGTGAGGGAGGGTAACAGGAAGGGGTCTAATTGAGAAAGGGACATACACTCAGAGCCGTACTCAACGCCAAAGTATGTGTAGCCAGCGCAGGCAGTGGCGCAAGTCTCGACATCTGTGTCACTGCCTGCAATAGGAAGCAAGACACTGTTCAAGGCCCGTCCGTTGGTAGCTTCGCTGTAACAGCCGAGATAATTTCACCCGGTGAAATTTGAGACCGTGACAGGTCCAGCTGCAGTTGCCGTCGGTGTACTTGGGGAGGCACTGTTGGTACCGGTTGGAACGCTTGCCGAGCTTGTTGGTGCAGGGCTTGTGCCATTCAGGAGATAAAGGTTCAGACGGTTACCTCCTCCACACCATTGTAGCGCATTTCCCGCGCAGACCATATTACAGCCATTTACAGTCGGATCTCTGCTCGTTTGTTTGACCGCACCAATTCCGAGTGGGGTGTAGGTGAGTGGTTTGGCGTAGAACTGTGATGATCTTTAGCCAGTGACTAGAGGAGATGGGACGTCGATTGCATCGAGGCAACGAGGTGACTGGGAAGCAACTGGTGTCTGGTGCATAAAGCTGCGGCAGCTGCTAAAAGGAAGACTGGACTCGAACCTGTTCATTCTGATTGAAAGGCACTTTCCAGATCTGCCCAAATGCCGAAGAGTCGACGATATTCGGATCCATATTATGATTAGGTCTCCTCCCAGTCAGCACAAGTCCCCATGTACAGAGATTGATTGACACTTACAGGTAACCAGATTGCGAGACATCCGCATCTCGATACTCATCGTACGAAGCAACACCGCAAGAGCCTCGAACCATCGCCATCACGGCGAATAGTCCCGAGAAACGCATAAGGAACGTGGAGTGGCTCGCGCCTAGTAAGAAACAGACGGTACAAAAGATGAGTTTGTCGTGTTATCGAGCACGGAAACGAGTGTGATGGCCACGATGGACACGGCCCAGTACGATAGAGAGCGACTACTCTACTTCATGAAGTCCGAGGACGAGAGCCGAGGACGAGAGCCGTAGTGTCGCTCTGGCTTGATCTTTTGATGACTTGAAATGGATCAAGTGTATCGATCGATTCAAGCATTGGCGAAAACCCAGACCTGATAAAGGACCTTCCTAGACACAGGTAGCCGCATAGCCGTATAGACCAGATCAGACCAGGAACCTGCCAGCTGAAATCAAGTGACACCATACACGCGAATACACGATAACAACATGTTGATTGGTCCCTAAAGCAGTCCAGCCATTCGGGAACGCACCTAACTCGGCTCAGCTTTCTCGGAAGAAGCCTCCTGTGTAGGTACTTTCAGGACGTTCAACGACGATATAGAGGTAAAACACATACAATACAAATTCCAGTCCAAGCCCACGTACAAGAGAATTTCATTTCTAGAAACAAAAAAAGAGAGAAGAGTCGATCATACAAAAAATAAGAAAGCCGGTACGCACGGGACGGGATGGGACTGGAGATCGTCAAGTTCTTTGATATTGTCACACACACACACACAACATACATACATACATACATACATATACATGTATAGAACTTGTGCTCCCCCCCCCCACATCGGACTCGCTTGGGGCTGGACTGCATTCCAAGAAAAAAAAAATCTTCTTTTCTGGCGGAACAAATCGAAGCCCATCGTAGCCAACCAAGCCAGGCGCCTACCAGTTGCACCTCACTCGAAGCCAAAGCTCCAAATTGTTGATCCGGTACTAGAAAAGATGCTGGTATTCTTCCTTGATGACTCATCAAGGGCTACCAAGTAGCTAAAACCAAAGCAGAAGGTCAAGAGGGGTATCATAATCCTGGATGCCCAAATCCAGCGCGCAAGAAATGAAGCACAGACGCCAAGCCCAATTCTAGTCCTTCGTCCCATAGATGCACCATAGATGCACCCGTCGTCCAACCCAGGATGCAGACAGGTCATGCCATCCCATAGGTTCGCAACAACCTCAAACGCCCAAGAAATGCCATGCAAATAGCCTCCAAAATTCAGCCAGACGAGCCTCCGCAGCAGCTACCTTTTACCGGGCCATCAACTGCACCATCCGCCACGGTCTCGGCTATACCGTCCAATGCCGCGCTAAAACCGACCTTCTTGTGTATCTCACATCCTATACACTGACAGTCATCTCCACAGGGGCATCCACCTTCATCCCCTGCGCATGGCATAGGGTCGCGATGTATGCTGCACCCCAGACATTCGCAATCATCGCCACACGGACAGCTTTTCGTGTCTCCACCACAGCCGTCTCCCGAGAAGGGGTAGTTGACGAAGAAAAAGTCGGCGGCTGAAAGGCTTTGCTCTTCGCAGTTTCCTGAGGTCGTACTGGAGGGCGTGTGGGCGGTCGGTGAGGGTACTGTGTCCGCGGACTGGGGCTGAGTTGTGGCAGCTCCGTTGCCGTCTAGTGCGTGTCTATTTGTGTAAGATTCACTGGCGCCGATTTGCTGTGTGTTGTAGGCTGAACGAACGTAGTTTTGAGTAGCGTCATTATACGGGTGAGCCGCACAGCCTACACATTGACAGCTCTCGCCGCAGCAACACGAGTGGATGGTATCGAGGCTGTCGGGGGCGAGCTGTATATCATGCGGTTGTTGTCCAGCAGGGATTGGGGATTGCGAGTAGTTGTTTGTGCGAATACTTTGTCGCCAGGAGGCTGGCTGAAGTGGGTTTTGGAAGGACCCATAGGTAGCTGGGTATGTAAAAATAGTTGGCTGAGGGGCGAACTGCGGGTACATAACCGGGCTGAAATGCATCCCACCTTGTGATGGCATCTGATGGGGCGCCATATGAGGGGTGGATTGGGTAGAGGTCATGGAGTCTGTCTTTGACAGCGCCGAGGAACAACAACTTGCTGCTGGTGGCTCCGAGACTTCCGAGTTCGAGCTGGAACTTGATGTGTGGCTATGGCTGTTCTGCTTTGGGGCACAGCACGACTTCCCGTTTTGTGCCTTGGGTATGCTACCATTCTCGAAGGGGGGTTCCTTTCCGGTTACATTCCCATCAACAAACTTGCCCGAATCACCACTGCTGAACGATGTTTGCGTGGCTAGAGGACTTTCCACGACCTGGTCCAGACAGCTATTGGGAACCCCTCCATTGGCGAAGCCGTTGGCTCCATTATGTTGCATCGAATGTGTAGGAGGTTGTAGCGGAAGCATGAATTGAGGTTGCATTTGCGCATACTGCTGCACGTACCCGTACATCTGCGGAGCCGGAGCCGCCATGGTATAGCCATTTTGGAAATGGACCGGTACTTGGGGTCGCTCATATTGTTGAATATTGACTTGGTTCACATCCATCCGTTCCAAATTGGCAAGATCGAAAGACTGTTTCCGGCCAGATGCGGACTTTGGTTTGCCAACTTTGAAAGTGTACCTGGTTGGAGATGACAGTTCTGCTCCGGTCGAGTCCGTGAGTCGTGCAGGCGTAGATCTTCCGTCCTGCGAAGTTGCATCACTGCCGCAATGACAAGTCTGCTTTCTAGGAATCGCGGCCGTCACACTACCACAGCCGCATGGTTGGTCTCGAGGATGTGGGCACGCGCTCAAAGGTCTTCCCGGCTTCCTGACAGGAACCATCAATCTCTCGCTGGCGTGATTACATTTCGTGGATCGGTGGCCTCGGATACATGGCTCACTGGGGTGTTATACCTCGTCAGTAAATGCCCAAGTGAAAATGGGGAGTGAGGCAGAGAAAGAGAAAGAGAGGGGAGAGAGAGAGAGAGGGTCCACGGTGTCCTCGGTGAGTAGGAGCACCGGCGCAGATATACGCGCGCAGCCGTGCCATGGTCCAACAAAAGAGGGGGCCGCCAGGACGTACCAGGCCATCTTCATTCCATTGATCAAGGGCATCTTCTGACGTTCGGCCGGGTGCCGCTGAACAGTTTTATGATTGATCTGTAAGGTGCTGCTGACAACACAACACGCTGCCAGAGGTCGACACTTTTGAGAGAAGGGTCCTTTCTGTCGGAGTCTTGGTATATGCTTTTCCGGCTGAGCCTGCCCGCCTGCATGAGCTGGCTGGCTGGCCCTCGAGAGTCGGGACAGACAGGTGAGGCTGTACTCGGATCCGTACAATCAGGGTTTGGGTCTGACTTTGAAGGTTCCACAAACGACGTTCTGGGTCTGGTAAGGCTGCTCAGCAGCTGACCAGCGGGCAGACAAGGGGAACGGTATCGGATAGGATTTTCGTTGGGTCCACGGAGCAAAGATCAGCCATAGGAGGACAAGAGGAATGTCTGGTTGGGGGGGGGGGTTGTTAGAAAGGGGGGGCGTATTGGGGGCGTGTCTGGAGAGAGGCGAGGTAGGACAAAGCACAGAGAGCGGGTTTGAGCTGATTTAAGTACCCAACACGAGGGGGGAGTCAGTATCAGCCAGATAGGAGGAGCGAAGAGAGTGTTAAGAGTCAAGACAGAAGAAAGGAGAGGAGATAGAGATAGATGAATGTTCAGTGTATTTCGCGAAACTAGACTTACATAAGTCCAGTTCCGGGCGGGTTGTGCGGTGGAGACGGAAAATACTGCTTCTTTATTCAATCTCCTTGGGGTTCATGGCGTGAAGGTAGAATGGACGTGGGCGGAACTATGTTTGAAGGGTTTTGAGGTGGAGGGGCGATCATGAGCAGGTTTTCGTTGGTTCACCGCCCTCCGGGTCCACGCCCCACCATTTAGCGAGTCAAGGGGGAGGGGGGCAGTATATAGTTGGACGGAGGTACCTGCTACCTTGAGACGGGCTCGCAAGAAGGGCAACAACCATAACAAATACTTACGCTGGATACCATGATGGGCCCTTCTCGGTGTGGAAATCTCAGATGACAACCGTGTTGGGAGAGCAGATATGGAGGTGCTGCTGATCGCATCTACATATATGCGTATGCACATATTATTCATATATATATACATCATACATAATACATAATACATGTACATACCTACCGTATATATATATTTCAAATCATTAAGATGGTGCTGCCAGAGGTCCGGCCAGGCCTTTTATGACTTACGGCACGACAGTGGGGTCCCCTTGAGGCACGTGTCACAGAGGCTCTTATCTAATCGCTGGATAGCGGGGTGATGGTCACGGGCCACGAGGGTGGAGGGATTGGAAGGAGGAGAAAGCATGACTGTGTTATTCATTTTACTGTTGTTGTTATTGTTGTTGTTGTGTTATTATTTTGATTATCATGATTATGATTATTCTCCAAGAGAAGACAACAACAGAACCTGTTCCAAAAACACACACCACTTCACCTTCCTCACCCTCCCCCCCAATATCCCGAGTCATCTGCCGCCGTCAGTACCTCGAGTAGCTTTCGGAAAATGTGTCGAGTTCGGTAAGGACGCCGACACTAGGGAGTCTCGCATTGTCGGAAACCTCAACGCCACGAGGGACATCTTGTGCAAGGAAAAAAAAACAGAGCAACGTCACGCCCGAAAGTCCCAAAAGGCCGAGGTAGTCAATCCTACACATCCGCTCACCTCGCTCAGGTCAACACGATCGACCAGACCGAATTCTCAAGAAAGATCCTACCAAGTTTCATCTCACCTTCCCCTGAGCCAGGGACCAACGTCAATCACAATCCAACCCACGATACCCCACGCCGTACGCAAAGCAAAGCCCCTCCGGCTTATCCTCGCAATTCTCTAGCCAGGTCGCAAAGCCGCGCCACCTTTCTCGGCACCGACGCACCGCACCGAGCCGTATCTCCGCGCGCCCGGTCACCAGCTCGCTGACAAAGTAAAAAAAATCTTACGTACGGCCACATCCACTCTCAGAGCAAACAGACGCCTGAAACCCAGAACCCACGTGATCGGCTCCCCCTATCCGGGGGTCTGTTTACTCGCTTCTCAGCTAGCGAGATACTGTCGCTGCTATGGCGACCGAGGATGACGACCTTGACGGCGGTCTCGACCTTTTTACAGAGCCGCCTGATTATGTACGTCCGACCCGCACGTTCTTCAAGCGATAGATGTCCTGTTTGTGGAACGCGCTCTCGTTCACTCGCTTCCATCTTATATAATTTTCAGCAAATGACTCTACCCAACCTCGCACTGATATTCCCCAGTACCCACCCTCCCCTAAAGCCACAACAGAGTCTCACACCCTCCTCTCCGGACGCACCCTGACCGTCTCTCTAGTCGGCCACAACCCCCTCTGGGGCCACCAGTACGTTGAAACCCTCCTCGATATGCTTTCCCACTTCTCCTCCCTCACAGGACTGCAAATATCTGCCCCTCTGACTCTCCCACCTCTCACTAATACCCAACTAGCCTCTGGAACGCAGGCCGCCTCATCTCCACCTACCTCGAGAAGAACCCCTCTCTCATCGCCAACAAAACCATCCTCGAACTCGGGGCGGGTGCGGGCCTCCCCAGCCTCGTGTGCGCAGAAATCGGCGCCAAAAAGGTCCTCGTGACCGACTACCCAGACCCAGATCTCATCGCCAACCTCCGGCAGAATATCGACGCCTACTACTCCACCCCAGGCCGCCGCTGCAGCAACAAGCAGAGTCTCGCAGCCGAGGGCTACTGCTGGGGCGCCGACGTCCAGCCGCTGCTCGCCTACCTACCAGCAGCCGCAGCAGCACCCTCAACCGGGGCCGGAGTCGAGGCCGCGAGCCTGCAGCAGGGCTTCGACGTCCTCATCCTCGCCGACCTCCTATTCAACCACTCGGAGCACGCCAAGCTCCTCGCCACCATCGAGCGCACGCTGCGCCGGGGCAGCGACGCACAGGCCCTCGTCTTCTTCACGCCCTACCGGCCCTGGCTGTTCGAGCGGGACATGGCCTTCTTCGCCCTGGCGCGGGCGCGGGGCTTCGCGGTCGAGAAGGTGCTGGAGGAGATGATGGCGGAGGTTATGTTTGTGGAGGATCGCGGCGATGAGAAGATGAGGAGGACGGTGTTTGGGTTTGTGCTTCGCTGGGGGGAGAGGGGTGAGGGGGGTGAGGGGAGTGAGGGGGGAGAAGGGGGAAAGGGAGAGGGAGCAGAGGGGGGGAGTGTGATGTGAGTGGGTGTGAGGTGAGGGCAGTGAGTGTATCTTCTGTCTCACAACAAACGATCTCTTGGAATGCATGCATAGCGGGTGAAAAGATGGAAGGGAGAAATACAGTAAAAATTCCGTCCGGAGTAACGACAGGTGAAACCAGAAATCCTCATCTGCACTTCTGCAGGAATTCAGGAATGCAGCTAGCTCGCAGCGAAGGGCAAAGTGGCCTCTCTCTCTCTCTCTCTCTCTCTCTCTCTCTCTCTCACTCTACTACTACTCTACTCTACTCCTACTC